CCCACCCCACCCCACCCCCATTATCTGTGTCCAAACATTAATGGGATGTGCGTGTTTTAGAACAGGACAAACTGCTCTCTTCTTGAAGCAAAGACACCGCAGACTCTGGGAGCTGAACCCCATTCTGGTGACAGAAGCAGCCAGTCACTTCCATTACCCCCTTGCCAGCCGGGGGGAGAGAGCGGGGGACCCAATCCTCACACCATAAAGCACCTGGAGAAGTCCAAGTCACACTAGTGCAGGCTGAGAAGAATCTAGCTCATTTTAAAGGCACTTGTCACAGGACGACTCTAGTTGCTAAGCAAAGCGGTGAGGTCGGCAACGTGTCTTAACCCTCCTGCCACCTCCTTGCCTCATGTTTTTACTACAGATGGAAAACAAGAGGACTGAGCTGTGGATACAGTGTTTGTCCCACCATCAAATGGCAGAGACATTTTAATTTCCCCACGATCGCTTCCAGTTGGAAAGCGTCTGACAAAACCAAATATCATCACATAAAATGCCAGTAAATTAGAAGGAACAACAAAGGGGGTCTGTGGGTCTAACTCCTATATGGCTTCTCTACAAGGGAGAAATCGTGTCCGCTGCAAAGAGGCCTGATGGCACCTTTGGATTCATCTGGATTGGGAATGCGAGTCTCTAGAGTGTTCATTTGACTAACACTTAATAATAAAAAAACTGCCTTTAGTAGTTGATATAAAGAAATTGTGCCCATAGGAAGGTGAGCAATATATGGCTATTCCCCTCACGTCTCAGCCAACTGGAGCTAAAGCATAGAGTGGATGGTCCTTCCATTCCCACCCGAGTGCAGACTTGTTTCTGTGGCTTCTGTTTTACTGTCGCTGGGCATTGTATTTCTTATAAAACGCTACAACGGGAACCAGGCCATTTCTCCAAGTAAGGGCTTAAGCAGCACTGGGCTACCATGCTGGTTTTTCAGAGGCATCGAACTTGGACCTTTATGTAAACCATTTGCTAAAAAAGATCTAGAAAGTTATCGCTCTTTGGTTGGTAAATGAAGGGCAGGGCTTACCAGAGAACAAGCTTTACCTATACGTTTCAAGAACATTTGACTCTTGCAAACTTTTCCCTTTCATAATGTGAAAATAACCCCAAACAAGCTGCCAATTGATCACTTTAAATGACATTTAAACCAGCAAAGCCAACTTTAGCTGAGTAATAAAAATATGTTGACATTCAAGACGTATTGAATTACTCCGTCATTAACAGAAGTAGCAACAGGAATTTTGTGGCATAAAGCAGTTGTTTCAAACTCAGAGTATAAGTGGCTTTTATAACACTTTTGATCGTTTTGTGTTTCTTTAGTTAAAAATTATTCCAGATGATATATATATAAATGCCTGACTACATAAGATTTTTTTTCTTTTTCTTTCTTTCTTTCTTTTTTTTTTTTTAACAACTGAAGTTCAAGTCATTGGAGTTATTTTGTTTTTAAGATTTCAATGAAATAAGAGGCAGATCCTTTTTAATTCCCTAGATCCTCTGGAGGTTGTTACGTGCAATTTTTCAGCTCTGTTGAAATCCACATGTGCACAGATACAATGTTCTCTGATCATCAACGAAAATGCTTAATACTATATAATAAAACTCTCGAAACTCTATAAATACAAGAGTATCCTATTACAAAACACTTGAACATGCATGTGAAAAAAATTTATATTACAAGGTATTCATTAATTTTAAGTGCATTTCTCTTAAACTAAAGGGTCTTCTGTATTAAGGCACATGGGTATTTTAAACAAATGTCCATTATTTGGATTGTCTCTTCCATGAGAGGAAGTTTATTAAAGGGTTTAGCTCCAGTGAAGTGCCATTTTCCAGTTGCAGAGAGAACATTCTCTCTCTTTCCTGCTGGGTGAGGTGCCCTGGGTGTCCACAGCTAAAAGCATTGTAAAAAATCCCTTCCTGTGGTTAAGGAGAAATATTTTCACTCCCACGTCTGTCTCCTACCAGAGACTCATTGTACATGCTCCCGGAGCAGAGACTGTAAAAAGATGGGCAATTCACACATAACCAACATGGTTTCTAATGAAAAAACCATGCTGGACAAAACTGATGTTTAAAAATCTGAGTGGGCAAGTCAAGTTATTGACAAAGGGAATGTTTAATGATGGTGGTTAATTAAAATGTTGGGAAAGCTTCTGAGAAAGTAATTTTATGTTGTTTTAACTGCCCAAATGGAATTTTAAATGAAGGTCTGTAAACTGGAGGTCCGTGGGTATATAATCACCAACTCACCAGACGCCGAGTGTCCCTGTTTCATTTCTTTCAATTTATTGCAAAAATTAATAAATTTATTTCAGGTTCAGCCACAAAACAGGTAAGTAACATCCAAAATAGAAGTTGCCACTCTGCATGATAGCAGTGGTTCTAACCTAGGGGCAATCTTGCCCAGGAGGGAAGGGAACACTTAAAGCTTCAGCCCCCAGCTGGAACCTCACAGCGCCCGGCCCCTGCTTTGCTCAGGTGGGGGCAGCCTGGGAAATCGCATCCCTACCTCCCGGCAGTCACGCTGTATTACAGAAATGTGTGTCCTTACACAAACTGGAATTTCCAGTCTCCTCCAGCTCCTTCTATTATTTTCCGCCCAGCCACTGTGGCTGTTACCGTTTTATCTTTTAAAAACGCTGTCCTGAAACTTCCTTCTCTTTTAGGGCTCTTTGATTTCTCGGC